GGGGCCGGGGGTGGAACCAAAGATTTGTAACTGGTCGGCCAGCGGCGAGGGCCTGGGACTGGAGTCAGGACACCTGGCTCTGCCACTGATGTACGGGGCGGCCCTGGGCACCTCCTTGCATCTCCCCAGGTCTCAGTCCCCCAGCAGTGACATGGGGAGAACAGCCTGCCCTCTGTTGCTCTGGGTGGGCGCAGCGCCCAGCCCGGGTCTGGGCAGCGCCGGGACCAACGGGGCCCTAATCTCTGTCAGGGTCTGGGCAGTGCCCGGCGCGATGGGGCCCTGATCCCGTCTGGGGTCTGGGCAGCGCCCGGCGCGACGGGGCCCTGATCTCGGCCGGGGTCTGGGCGGCGCCCGGCGTGACGGGGCCCCGATCTCGGCCGGGGTCTGTTCAGCGCCCGGCGCGATGGGGCCCTGATCTCGGCCGGGGTCTGTTCAGCGCCCGGCGTGACGGGGCCCCAATCTTGGCCGGGGTCTGTTCAGCGCCCAGCGCGATGGGGCCCTGATCTCGGCCGGGGTCTGTTCAGCGCCCAGCGTGACGGGGCCCTGATCTCGGTCAGGACATCAAGGCGCTCCCCTGCTAACAGCTACACGGCTGGGTCTCACTTACCCGGGAAAGCAGCTCTTAAGGAATCCCCCCTCTCGGGAAGCCAATTTTCGCTGGATCTCCAACCCCCGTCCCAAGCTGCCCCATCCAGTAACTGCCCAGCCCCAGCCGCGGAAGCGTGGACCTGCCCCGTCCCGCCCCGCGTCTGGGTGGCGTCGGGGGCAGGGCAGGAGTCAGAGACTTGTCATGGGAAAGCGGAGGCTGGGGCCTGTCAGGTTTTCAATCCCAACAGGTTTGTCTGCTCTGCATGTGACTGCCAGGGCGGGGGGGAGGGACGGGGCAGGTGCGGTCGTCGCTCGGCGTCCCGGCCCGTTTCCTCTTCCCCTTCCAAAGCACCGTGAAGCCACCCGCGCCCCAGAGAGCATCAGCCGGGTGCTACAGGGGGAATGGGGAAACTGAGGCACAGAGCAGGGCCAACCCCCCACAAGCAGCCGTAGACTGAACCTGGGGGCCAGGGAGGCCGGCCTTGTGGAGGCTCCGGACTGGAACCCAGGAGATCGGGGTCTGCCCGGAGTCACTGCCGCCCTGCGGCTCAGTTTCCCCACCTGCGAGGCAGGGGTAACCTTGCTAACTAGCGAGCTGCAAACAACGCCCTGGCACCAGCGTTGCTCCGCTGCAGAGAGACGGCACCAGGGCGGTGGGGGGTGATTTATCCCACACTGGCGGAGCACAGAGGGCTGGAGGGGCCGACCCGATCCGCTCCCAGCTCCCCCGCGGCCCGGCAACCCCCCCCCGGCAGCGCCCAGCCTCCCCAGGGAAACCAGGCCGAGGGTTTAACCAGCCAGCGGCCTGGGACGTGGGGGACATTTTCCCATGAGCACCAGGTGCATTCGCTCCACGAGGGGCCTGTGAGTCCCGCCACCCCCACCCCAAAGGCGGGGAGTCGGGCCGGGTTCTGGGCAGGGCGCGGGGGCCTGGCTCGTGGTGACCAGTTGGCAGCTTTCCGCTCAAACGTCCCCTGGGGGCTGCAAGTGAGTCCCTGGCTTTGCCATGGCGTGTCAGCCTGGGGCAGGGATCACACACGGGCAAAGGGCACCACAGGGTAACAGCGCTCGAGAACCTCTGCTCATCGCAGGAGCCAGGACACCTGGGTTCTATCCCCGGCTTGGGGATGGGGGTCTAGTGATTAGAGCAGGGGGGGCTGGGGGCCAGGACTCCTGGGTTCTCTCCCCGGCTCTGGGAGGGGAGTGGGGTCTGGTGGGTTAGAGCAGGGGGGGCTGGGGGCCAGGACTCCTGGGTTCTTTCCCCGGCTCTGGGAGGGGAGTGGGGGCTGGTGGGTTAGAGCGGGGCGGGGGCTGGGAGCCAGGACCCCTGGGTTGTCTCCCCGGCTCTGGGAGGGGAGGGGGGGCTAGTGGTTATAGCAGGGGGGCTGGGAGCCAGGACTCCTGGGTTGTCTCCCCGGCTCTGGGAGCGGAGTGGGGTCTGGTGGTTAGAGCAGGGGGCAGTCGCTGCTGGGGGGGTCCCCGGCTGTGTAACCCCCCCTCTGCTCCTGCTGCGGCACCGTTGGGGGGGGGGGGCAGAGCTGAGCCACCAGGGGCACCTGCAAAGAGCCCCCCCAGCCTGGCCCCTGGGCAGGCAGCCACGGGGGGGCGGGGGCTCTAGAGTCCCCCCCCCCCGCCTCCATGGCCAGACAAAGCCCAGCGCCCGGGGCGAATCGCTATGGCAACGCGCAGGGGAGCCATTGTCCACTGGATAAAAGGGCAGGACGCCTGGGGGCGGGGGGAGCAGGGAGCCCGGACGCCTGGGTTCTATCCCCGGGGGGAGGGGTG